GTGCAATATTTTTTTAAAATCCACCACATGAGGCTTATGTACATAGATATGTAAGAGATGGACTAGTTCTTAAAGATACAAAGAACCTATACACATGAAAAATAAACAGAATTTCCCCTTCAGACTATAGAGCTCAGAATCTCCCTCACATTGATCCAACAGAAATAGAATGTGCTATTTTACTTATTTTAACTTATTTTTACTTACTTATTTTAAATGTCTATCAGGATTAGGGGCACCTGGGTGGCTCAGTCGGTTAAGTGTCCGCCTTCAGCTCAGGTCATGATCCAGGGTCCTGGGATCAAGCCCTGCATTGGGCTTCCTGCTTAGCGAGGAGTCTGCTTCGCCCTCTGTCCTTACCCCCTCACTCGTGGGCTCTAGCTATCTCTCTCTCTCTCCAATAAATAAATAAAAATCTTTAAAAAAAAAAAAAAAGTCTACCAGGATTTAAAATGAATACCTCGTATGGTCAGCAATGCTAGGGACAGAAATATACCCAACAGATATTCATTGCAATTTGGGGGTTTTTTTTGTTGTTGTTTTTACTTTATAGTATTTTAATTCCAGTGTAGTTAACATACATTGCAACTTTGCAGTAGCTAAAAAAATTGCAAACAATCGATGCCCATCCACAGGGAACTGTTTGAATAAATTATACCCCTAACGGACAAATAGGGTAATACATATAGCTGCCTTCTTATATGCACAGAATATCCCTGGGAGAAACCATTATTAGTAATCACCTCTGGTGGGGCGGAGAGGAGTGCCTAAGGGCCAGGAGTGGGGGCTTTATTCTCCTCCTTATATTATTTGAATATTTAATCCTTTACATAGATTACTTACTCGCAAAATAAACTTTGCAGGAAAACATGTTTTTGAAAGGAAAAATGCCACTATCTGTCTTGCTGAGTGTGTGACTATGAAAGCAGCATCACCAACTAAGAGTCTCTACCTAGTAGACCCCGTCAAGAGTTATTTGCTTCATTACCATTAGCCTCTAAAAATACCCTTGCCCTTCTTTCCCAGAAGTCTCACACAATGGGAACTCTTTTTCAACATGGCCTTTAATATCCAGAGCAAAAGACTTAAGCAACAAATAAAACTGAGTGGGGAGGAAGCAGCAAATGTCCCTATACCAGAAGAACTGTGCTGGATGATGGGGGAGGGACCAGGGAGATGGGGGCTGGCCTCCAGAGTCTTTTTCAGGTGCTAAATGCTCTGAAAAGACCTCTCTGAACTCCAGCATCTCCTGAATCTTCATTAGAAGAGCATTCAAGGTGATATAATGGAACTCTGAGTCATTTCATCAAAGATTAAGTGCTTTTATTTCACTTGCTACTTCCTTGACCCAAGGTACAGAGAACTCTTTGGCCAACCTTCTGATACTTCTTCTGCCAAGGCTGTGCAGCTTTTTCCCTGAATCTCCTGGGTATCCCAGTCCCTTTAATCACAAATACAGTAATAATGTCCATGCTCTTGCTCTAAGACACTCTAGTCCCCTTCAGTTGGCTAGTATGGCAGTGAAAGAATCCCAATGCCAACTCTATCTTCCCAGAACAGTGTGGTTCAGACATCCTACCTCTCTCTCTCTTTCTCTCTCTCTCTGACTGAGCCACTGCCCAGGTAGCCATGTTTCTCCACTTGTGTCAGATAAATGACTACCTGCTGAAAGAGACACTTCCCAGATGCTGAAAACTTCACTATTAGAAGATGAAAGGAACAGTGTTCAAAGAGTTCCAACATTCCAGGGAATATGACTCAGGCTTCACAGGGTAGAGTCCTAGAACAGGCAAAGCTCATAAAATCAGTGACCGCACAGAAGCCCAGGAAAGGAGGCACAATTTGCCCACACATCCTTGGAAGGCAGGACTGGCCATGATTTGGATCAAAGGTGACCAGGTCATGTTGCTAAGTCATCCACCTTCTCTAAAAAGAAGATTTTGATAGGCTCTTCTTCTTTCCTTCAGGAAGAGTTTGGGGTCTAGAATCCAGATAATGCCACTGTAGGAGCACTGAGTGAGGTAGAGCTGAGCAAACAGATGAACTTGCCTTTAAGAAGGCATGATGCAGGGTACCTACCTGGCCAATTTCCTCTCCTGACTTTTGCCAGCTAATATATCAGGTATAAGAGATGCAGAGTTCATTGTATTATTGCTCAGTGATGTATTTATATTAAGGAAAAGAGTCATGAGTGGGAACCATGCCTTGATCATATCAAGCAGGCATTCTTGCGTTCATGGAGTGGGAGGAGGAAAGACAAGGAAAGGCAACTAACTCAGACATGGTTCCCACTGATATGCATCAAAGATTTCCAAATAATATACTGAGTGAAAGAAGCCAAATCAAAACAGAGTGCATACTTTAGGACTACATTTCCATAAAACTCTAGAAAATGCAAACTAATATATGGTGGCAGAAAGCAACAGATCAGTGTCCTTAGGAGTGGGGGAGCAGAGAAGGGCAGGAGAGAGAGATGCACAAGGGCACAAGGAAATTTCTAGGGCTGATGGATATTTTCACTCTCTTAATTGTGGTGGTATTTTCACAGATGGATATGTGCACCAACACTTATCAAACTGTACAAGCTAAACATGTACAGCTTATTGCATGAAAATTATACTGCAATAAAGGTAAATTTCAGAACATCATTCAAGCTAAAAAATATCAAAGGTTGAAATCATCCTCAAAAGTCATCTTGGTCCTCCGATTTCTTGGATGTGATATAGTCAAACAGCTATGAAACCCAGCCCAAGGTAAAGTTCATGGGAAAAAACAAAAGCTGGAGCCCAGCAGACACCCGCTACCCAAATACCTGCCTTCTGAGGTACAGGAAAAGGCTGATTCTGACAGCTCAGTTCCACAAAGCTGCCAGCTGAGTAGCCAATTCCCATGTGACCTATATTCCACTGGCCATATCCACATTACCAGCAACAGCTGGGAGGGGTCCCCACCTCCCACTCAGTTAATGATCCAGTCAAAGCTAGAGCAAGGCAAAAAGAGGAAGCAACAAAGAGTGTATTCTCCTCTGTCCTCCAGAGGTAATCCTTGGTGTCCAGCCCATGGCAAAAAGCCCAATACCATGAGGGTAATAAAATTAAAAAGATGCCCAAAAGACATATTCTGAAGGACCCTAAGAGATGGCCCTGAATTTGGGTCAGAGCTTCTCTGGCCTCTGTCTTACCTGCTGAGAAAGGAGGGATATCAGGAATAACAATGACTTTACTGAGCATTTCAAATTATTTCCTCAGGCTTGAGTTGTAGCTATTCCCAGGTACCTCCATCAGCCCCTGACTGACTCCTGCTATGGCCACGCCAACCCAGGTAGGGACATGGTTAACTCACCTATGAGAAGCTCAGGCTTCTTCACCGCCAGTCAGCTACCTGACACCTCATCTTCTTTCCTGCCAGACACCAACAAACACCCAGCCTCCTTCCCACACCTTTTCCTGTGGACTATTAGGATGCACTACCTGGCCCAACTCAAGCCCCTCAGAGCTGCCCCTCAATGCCCCTGCATGGATTGCCATATCCTTGACCTCCAACAATGGGCAAACCACATGCTACTTGCACACCTCTGGCCTTTCTCTCTGGGGTGTGGGCTCCTTGATACCCTGCTGCATGCTGGAGGCTCCTGTTGCCTCTGCTTTGAGTAATCCTTCTGGGCTTTGCATCAGCCTTGCGTCAGGAGGAAGGCTGAGCATCCTACAAGAGCCAGGATCAGCCTTCAGAGAGGAATGGATTATAGATCACTGACAAGATGGAAAAAAGTCTTGGGAACAACTCGGAAAACAAAATGCCTCTTAAGTTTTCTGGGCCCCAGAGTGAGAAGAGCACCATTTCTTTCTCTCAAACAATATTATGACATCCTCACCAACTCCAAAGCCAAGAAGATGTAAAACAAAGACACATGTCTTAAAAAGGTGGAAATAGTTTCTGAATGTGTTCTGTGGCAGCAAAAACATTCAAATATTCATCTCCATCAAAAACTTCCCTATCTCCCAGAGGAGAGTCAGAGAAACTAACAAAGGGGATTGGAAGAAGCAAAAGATAAAGCTGAAGGGGTGGTGTGTCTGCCCCCACATCACCTGCTTCAAACTTAACTTTCAGTGCCAAAGCATTTGATACTGCTGGTCTGCTTTCCCAGCAACACTGGAGGTTTTGAATATGGAAAGTGCCAGCCATCGATCTGAAAGACATGGTCAGGACTGTAGAATCCTATAAATAGATAACAGTTTACAAAAGTTCTGGGCTAGGGCACCCACACAGGCTGTGGGTAGGTCCTTCTACCACTAAACACAACCACCTGTCAAACATAACACTTTGTAAAAGGGGGTTGGGAAAGAGTGAGCTGATGACTGACCAACGTGGGCAAGTGGAGAGAGAAGACATCAATCCTAAAGTGGGGCTAGTAAATCCAGGGTTGAGGATCTTGATGGACCCAAAGGACAGCGATCTCATGACTGCGCTGGGCAGGTGAGATCGACCATAGCTGTGAGCCCTGGAGCTCTGGCTTCTGATGAATAGAGAAGCCTCTCAGCAGGCTTGGTAGGAAATGTGGGGACCCGGGAGAACAGGAGAAGCGGGCTCCCCAAGGAGGACTAGGGGCGGAGCAGTGATCGGGGGACATCTGAAAGAGACCTGATGGCTAGCTCTGCTGGCCTTCCCAGAGAGCTGGAGTATCCACGAAGAAAGCAGAGCCCGGGCATCACAAGCTTCGAGAAAGTGGGGAAGCTCGACACAGACGCTAGGGATTGAGAGAACAGCACCTAGTGTCACCCGTAAGCCTGGATCTCGAGGCAAGAAGCAGAGTGTCTAGTGGTGGAGAGGGACGCCAGACCCAACAAAGAAGAGGCCGGATACCCATTCCCGGTGGGGAATCGCGATTCGCGGGACGCGGACTCCCGGGGTTGCCTCCCTCAGGTGAGAGGGGAGACGCAAACTGCGGGTGTGGAAGGCTGAGGTGTCTGGAGTCCGGCAGGTGCCGGGCGGGGATCTCTCACCTGCAGAGCACCAGGAAACTCAAGATCACCAGCAGCAGGAGTCCGAGTGTGCGGCCCGGCTTTCGCCCGATGCTCCACTTGCCCATCGCGCGATCGCGCAGCGCGCAGGGACCGCAGCTCGCACTGTAGCCGGGACTCAGCCGCGCGCGGGAAGCTCGGGACGGGGGGGCGGGGCCGCACTCTGGTCGCCCGGGCGACCGGACCGCGTCCCGCCCGGCTCGCAGGCGCTCATTGGCTGAGGCCTTAGGCCCCGCCCCATTCGTCACCGCCTAGCGTAGCGGGGGCGGAGCCTGCAACGGAGGCGGGGCGGGCTGCCTCCCGGAGCAGTTTCCAGGTCCCGGAAGGTTCCCGGGAGGCTCTGGGGGTCTCCCCCGCCCACCTGCCCCTAGTCTCAGGGAGGCGCTGGCTGTTTCTATTTTACTTCACGAGATATGCAAACAGGTGCAAAAATACTGGGCCAGTGTTGCCCAGTCCTTGCGCATCGTAGAGCACACCCCCCACCTCGCTACATTAGCAAGCATGTATTAAAGGCGCCTGCAAAGCCAACACGATGTTTTAAAACAATTCAGATTTTGAAGAAAAAAAAATTTGAAGTAGTGAAGTATCATATGAAAAGTCAGAACATTGTAGAATTTCCTTTAGACATATTTTATGACTTAGTGTAGCATGAGGGGTGGTGAGGTGGCCAAGAAGGAGCACCAAAATATTTCGTGCCTTTAGTTTCTTATTCTGGTCCTGACTCCCAGCACTTTCAATTTTTTATCTTTAAAAAAAGTCCAGATAAAACCCTCAAATTTTATGCCCTCAAATTCTTACGGGTACAGAATTATGTCACAAAGGATACTGTGTAATATTTGGGCAAACTTATGCTTTCTAAAAATCATATACCCAATTCATCCCAAGAACAAAATTCAGGTTTTACTGCAAAAAATCTGAAACATTTTCTAGGAAGGCTAAAGTTTTTTCAGAGCATCCGAGTTTCTAGAAAATATCCCCTGTTGCATGTTTCAAAACCACTTCCTACACTTGTACATAGTTTTGAACTTGTAAAGCTGATAGGAACAAAATGAGATTTTACTTCTCAGAACAAAGACATGCAGAGTTTGGTGTGAAGGTTCCTTTGACTAGCATTAGGCAAATATTTAGTATGGAGCAGAAGTTAAACCAAGGAGAGGAAAAAACAACCAAACAAGTTGCGGGGGGGGGGGGGGGGGGGCGGGCGCGGATAGCAGGGCCAGAAACAATCCTGGAGACATTTAGAGAGAGAAGTAGCTCCTCTTTCACACTCTACAAAATCAGTACTTTTTCCTCATTTTTTTTTTTTTTTGGTAATTAGGCAGCCATTTATTTTTTTAATAATTATTTTATTTTATTATGTATGTTAATCACCATACATTACATCATTAGTTTTTGATGTAGTGTTCCATGATTTATTGTTTGCATATAACACCCAGTGCTCCATTCAATACATACCCTCTTTAATACCCATCACCAGGCTAACCCATCCCCCCACCTCCCTCCCCTCTAGAATCCTCAGTTTGTTTCTCAGAGTCCATAGTCTCTCATGGTTCATCTCCCCCTCCAATTTCCCCCCCTTCATTTTTCCCTTCCTACTATCTTCTTCTTCTTTTTAACATATAATGTATACTTTGTTTCAGAGGTACAGGTCTGTGATTCAACAGTCTTACACAATTCACAGCGCTCACCATAGCACATACCCTCCCCAATGTCTATACCCAGCCACCCCATCCCTCCCACCCCCCACCACTCCAGCAACCCTCAGTCCATTTTTTAAAGACATATAATTGCTTCATAGTATTTTGGACTATGATGAAAATATTCTGATATAATTGGGATAAAAGCTAGCCCATGAGACATGGAGAAAGTGTCAAAGGTTAGCCCCCTTTTTACCTTTGGAGACCTATTCCTGGCACATACCCAACACTCACCCCTCAAACCTTGTGTATTGCTGGGCAGTAGTACAATCTATTACACATGAGGGTATCCTGAAATTAATAACCAATACGAGCATCTCCATATTTTTTCAGATATTAGTAAAAACCTGTTAACATGAGCTATAAAACCTCTGAAATTCTTAGCCCATCCTTGTATCCCTCGTTTTTATTTATGAAAGAAAACATAAATAGCTCTTTTAAAAAAATCATTAGCCCTTAACTTTCTGGGAAGCTCAGAACTATAGATACAGCTACCCACAATTTAGGAACAATTTCACTTTATCTGGCTTTAATGATACCACAGAGAGTGTTACAAAGATAGCATTAATCTGAGAGGTGTTTTGCTGAGGAGTCAAGATTTTTGGTTTTTAAAATATTAGCAAGATACTCCTTCAAAATACTCCTTTCCAAAATGTGTAATGAGTTTAACCCAAAGCAGACAATGAAATACTCAAATCCTGGGAACAGAAGCTACAGTTAAATGAACTGACCTGGTGGAGATGTAAAAACGTGGTCTGGCAAGGCTCATGGATGGAAACAAATCCCTGATGCTCAGGAATCAATCTTCATAGGCTACCTTTCTGGTGTCAGGGTTTTGGTTTAGAAAACATACAAAACATTTTTTTTTTTAAATAAAATCCTGTTGACATCCTCAGCCCACGACTCTGAGTTAGAGCTCCAACAGACCCAGAGAGCACAGTTCCTTCTTTGAGAAGTCACCTCTCCCACATAGTATACAAAGAACCCTGGGCGGGGGGGGTAATAAAAGCTACAGTCATTCAGAATCAGTACAGTGGGGGCTCTCAAGAAAGATAATCATATCAAACTAACCTTATTGGCTGTTTTATTTTTATTTTTAATAGGTAACAAACAGGTTTATAGATCAATTATTCATTTATTCACGTCTTATTTTTTAGTGCACTGTGCTAATGCCTTAAGTATAATGTGTCTGAATTTTCGAAAAACATTTGATGAAGTCTTTCCTAAAGTCATGAGAAAAAGATGCAAAATGTGGCTTCTGTAGAGCAGCTATTTGGGTCCCTGGCCCATGATACAACCAGCTCTTCTTCACCCTCCTCCTTATAGACAGACACCTGGACCTGCCCTCCCCACCCACCCTCTCCAGCTCTTTTGCTCCATGTTATGTGACAAGACCTGTTATGATGTCAAGTTGTGAAAGAGTCTTGAGCAAAGAAATTAAGAACATGGGGGAGGGCGCCTGGGTGGCTCAGTTGGTTAAGGGACTGCCTTTAGCTCAGGTCATGATCCCAGGGTCCTGGGATCGAGTCCCGCATCGGGCTCCCTGCTCTGCGGGGAGCCTGCTTCTCCCTCTCCCACTCCCCCTGTTTGTGTTCCCTCTCTCGCTGTGTCTCTCTCTGTCAAATAAATAAATAAAATCTTTTAAAAAATAAAGAAAGAAAGAAAGAAAGAAAGAAAGAACATGGAATTTCTGGGAATAAATGAGGGCAATTTCAACCATAGACAAAAAGAAAATAGAAAGTCCCAGGAAGGTGATTTTGGCTTTGGAAAAAGAAATAGGAAGCAGATCCAAGTTAAGATAAGTAGTCAAGGCTTCTCACTCCAAGAGATGTGTCAGTGGGACTGGAAGGGACCTGTATCCACTGGGGAGGGATGCACTGAACTTCATCATTGGCCTTTGTAATCCAAAAATATCACTTTTCAGCCTCAGCCTTTGGAAGGCAGAAAAGCCAAAGACCTAATTCAATATTTCATTCGTTAAGAAGTAAGCAACCAATGTTTAATGACTACTATGTGCTGAACAGTTTTAGGTGCTTACAGTACATCAGTGGACAAAACAGATGAGGGTCCTTCCCTTTGAAATTTATACTTTAGCTGAGGAAGAAAGACAACAAAAATTAAGAAATGAATAAGTAAATTGTAGAGTATGTCCACCAGTAATAAATTGCACTGCAAAAAGAAAGTAGATAAAAGAAGGGGATTGTGAGCGTTGGGGGGAGGGGTGTGCACAGAGGAAGCCACTGAAACAATGTTAACTGAGCAAAGATCTGAAAGAGGTGAGAGTTAACCATGCATGCAAATATCTGGAGGAAGGGCTATGCAAGCAGAGAGAACCCACAGTGCAAAGGCTCTCAAGCAGGAGCATGACAGGGTGTTCTGGGAACTGCAAGATCCCCATGGGAAGTGAAAGGGAGGTGGAGAACTACAGACAGTGAGGTCAGAGAAGTACAGGGGCCTAATGATGGAAGGCCTTTCAGAGGAGGACTCTGACTCCAAATGAAATGGGAGCCATTGCAGGCTTTGGACGTCAATTATGCTTTGAAAGACTCCTCTGGTTGCTGTGCTGAGGTTCACCAGAAGTGGGCAAGAGCAGGAGAAAGGAGACCCGCTCTGAGGCAGCAATCCCAGTGAGAGATGATGCTGGCCCGCACATGGGTGGTAGGAAGGAGGTGGTGGGAAGTGTTGGATTTCTGGAAAGAGTTTGAAAGCAGAGACTGGCGGATTGTCGTGATTCCAGGATCATTTGTCGGGTGAGAGAAATAAGGAGGATTCAAGAATGACTCCAACATATCAGAAGCACAACTTGGGCTGGTTGAGTTTGAGACATCTGTGAACGTGCTAGTAGAAATATCACGTAAGCTATTGAATGCACAAGCCTGAAGTTCAAGAGAGAGGTCTGGCATGGAGATATAAATTTACACATTGATATATAGTTGGTATTTAAAGGCATGAGCCTGGGTGAGATCACCAATGAAGTAAGTGCAGGCAGAGAAAGAGGACCAAGGATGAGCCCTGAGGCACCTGACACTGAGAAAAGAGGAGAAACCAGCAAAGTTGAACTAGAAGGAGCTGCCATAAGGCAGGAAGAACACCCAGAAAAGATGGCATCCTGAACACCAAGAAAGAGAAGTTACCAAGGAGGAAGCAGTAATGACCTATGTTACATGGTGCTGACAGGTCAAGTTAAGGAAAGGCTGATAAGAATCAGTGGATTCAGTACATGGAGGGTTTTGGTGACTAGGATGCAGGCAGCTTAGGTGGAGGTGGGAGTTAGGGTCAGAGAAGCTGACTGGAATGGGTTTAGAGAGGATGAAGAATCTAAGAGTGAAAGGGGAATCAATAATTGGAACAGTAGCTGGTGGTTTTTAACT